TGGTTTCAACTCAGATCAAATTTCTCTTTGTGTCAATTTTTTGATTGGCCAAAATTATTTTATTTTCCAATGTTCCTTTGTTTTTTATTTTTATATATTGGAAGTTATACATGGAGCCTCCTTGATTTTTGGTATTTTCCAGTCATGAATAAATAGATTCTTATTCTGCAAACTTCCAGCGTTTTTTGGCTGGATTCAGTTTTTCTTCTTCCTCTTTTTATTTGAGAGTTGCCTTCTTATCAGTTTAAAGAGAGAGAGGAAGAAAGAGGTATGCATTTAAAAGGAAAGTGCAAATTCCTTATTTTAATTTGAATTCTTTTTATTCTTCTCCTTATTTGAGGATTGCTCTCTCGTTAATTGAGAGAGAGAGAGAAAAGATATAAAGAAAGTGCAAAGATTTTAATTTGAATTCTTTTATTCTTCTCCTTATTTGAGGATTGGTTGAGAGAGAGAAGTTTAGAGAGAGAGAGAAAAAGAGATAATGGTTTTAAAGGAAAGTGCAAAGCCTTATTTTAATTTGAATTCTTTTTATTCTTCTCCTTATTTGAGGATTGCTCTCTCGTTAATTGAGAGAGAAGTATATAGAGAGAGGTTGAGAGAGAGAAGTTTAGAGAGAGAGAGAAAAAGAGATAATGGTTTTAAAGGAAAGTGCAAAGCCTTATTTTAATTTGAATTCTTTTTATTCTTCTCCTTATTTGAGGATTGCTCTCTCGTTAATTGAGGGAGAAGTATATAGAGAGAGGTTGAGAGAGAGAAGTTTAGAGAGAGAGAGAAAAAGAGATAATGGTTTTAAAGGAAAGTGCAAAGCCTTATTTTAATTTGAATTCTTTTTATTTTTGTTTATATATTTTATTTTATTTTTTTGGGAGACACTACAAGTCTATCTCTTTCTGCACTCTGTTCTATTGCCAGATATCTAGATGAAATATCTTGTTACTGGCATGTCACAATAGCTGTCTAAGAAAAGTATAAGTAAATGATCATTTAAGCAAGTGACTTTCTTATTATTATCTTGGCCATGTAGTAGTCCTTCCCCCCACCCCCATACCAGCCTCCAAACATCAACCCCATTTTTTATGGTGTCTACGAGGAATTTTTGCCCGAGACCACAGGCTTGGATACCTCACATTAAATTTGGCCTTGTGCTATATCTGACTGCAGGGGCGGTTGGCAAGTATCCTTGCTTTGGCAATGAGTTGGAGATTTGTCTCCAGCTGTGCTCATCGAACTCTCTGCCTTCGGGCGGGGTGGAGCCCAGACGAGGCTATGCCGAAGGGCAGAGTCTCATCTGGGGTGATAGACAGCTACCTAACCCTGTGTATACAGGGTCTATGGGGAATTTTTGCCTGAGCCTACGGGCTCGGTTTTAACCCCGCATTAAAATCAGCCTTGTGCCACATCCTGCCTTGTTGGGAGGTAAGGTAAATAACCTTGCTTTGGCAATTAGTTGGAGATTTGTCACCAGCTATACTGGTTGAACTCTCTGCTATAAGGCAGAGAGGAACCCAGACGAGTCTATGCCAAAGGGCAGAGTCTCATCTGGGGTGGTAGACAGCTACACAGGGTCTATGGGGAATTTTTGCCCGAGCCTACAGGCTCAGATATCCCATGTTAAATTCGGCCTTGTGCCACATCTAGCCACATGGGGTGGTTGGCAAATATCCTTGCTTCAGCAATTAGTTGGAGATTTGTCTCTAGCTGTGCTCATCAAACCCTCTGCCTTCTGGCAGAGAGGAACCCAGAAGAGACTCTGCCTTTTGGCATAGCCTCGTGTATACGGGGTCTACAGGGAATTTTTGCCCCGCATTAAAAAATGACCTTGTGCCACATCCTGCCACACGGTGGGATAAAGTAAATATCCTTGCTTCAGCAATTAGTTGGAGATTCATCTCCAGCTGTGCTCGTCGAACTCTGTCTTCAGGTGGAGTGGAACCCAGACAAGGCTATGCCGAAGGGCAGAGCCTCGTCTGGGTTCCACTCATCTGGGTTCCACTTGTCTGGGGTGGTAGGTAGCTACACAGGGTCTATGAGGAATTTTTGCCTGAGCCTACAGGCTCAATTTTAACCCCGCATTAAAAACAGCCTTGTGCCACATCCTGCCTTGCGGTGAGGTTAGGTAAATAACCTTGCTTCGGCAATTAGTTGGAGATTTGTCTCCAGCTATGCTGGCCAAACTCTCTGCCTTTTGGCAGAGAGGAACCCAGAAGACGCAATGCCAAATGGCAGAGTCTTGTCTGGGGTGACAGACAGCTAACTGACTACCACTTTTGTCTTTTTTAAGGATACAACAAATAATTTCTGTAATTTAATCATGAGGATTTTTAGTATATATAAGAACTTAAAGAAAAAATATATAAAAAACAATATTGCATTTTTATTAAATATGTATTTGTTATTTTAATCATTAAATTGTTTTTAAAATAGTGGGAGTATTTTGTATGTTAAATAATAAAACCTTTAATTTTTCCAAAAGAATTAATGAAAATTTATTGTACTAAACTACTGTACTTTGTATCTTCTTACTTGTTTGCTCTTCTCCTTCTCCCCAAAATTTGGCTTTGATGGGTCAATGTATGGGTATATTAGATGGTGTGACAAATGGACTAACTGAAGTCACAGAATCTTATATATAGATTCATGTTGGTATTAGTGATAAAAATCAGTGGTCAGGAACTTAAAACTATTTAGTCAATTCAAATATTTCAGTTTGGTTTGGTTTTTTTTATTTTTTACAGCATATCAACCTCAATGGATTATTTAATGCAGACAAAATTTTTATTACTGGTTATATATATTTTTTTTTCAAAAATATATTGCTAGTAATATTTTTTCTTCAAAAATCTATTTCTGGTAATATTTTTTCTTCAAAAATCTATTTCTGGTAATATTTTTTCTTCAAAAATCTATTTCTGGTAATATTTTTTCTTCAAAAATGTATTGCTGGTAATAATTTTTTACAAAGTATTTGTGGTATTAAAACTAAGAACTTTGTGGAATCCTCTTTCAGTGACCTCTCACCAAGAGAGCACTTGGATTTGAGCGGCTGCAGGAATGAAAATCACAGATAAGTTTTAACTTTTACACCAATATCTCATGTTTAATATTATCTTTTAATGATTTATTAAATGATTTATTGCAAAGAACTTATGTTATAGACAAGTGTATGGTTGCAAGAAAGAAATACAACAACAGCAGAAATAGATTTACGTGATTTATTTCAATAGGAACGTGTGGGTTTGGGACAGCTACCTTGTGGTATAGTTCATAAGCCGGCTTCCAATCTGGGTTGATCTCTCATAGTAGTTCTCACTGGTTGGCGTGATGCTCCTCCTGCTGACTGCTGCTGACTGCCCAGACTGACCGTGACAGATCTCTTCCCTGGCCTCCTGTTGACTGCTAGTACTTCCCCGTGTGATCCCTTTTATGGCGTTTTTTATGGCTTAACAGGCTTGAAAAATGACATGGGTATAATTAGGAGGGAAGCATTTTTATTGGTCGAAAAATAGAAACACTTTAAGATATTATTTTATTTTTCGACCGGAACTCGTGTGTCGGGCCTATGCGTAAATGACAATAATGGTCATTTTGTGACGGGGCCTTGTCCCGTTCACATCCGGCCCTCACTCTTGAGTATGTTAGTTTATTTGCCTGCAAATCAGCCGAGATATGTCTTATTTTATTTTATAACACTTATTACTTGCAAATAATTTATTCATTCACTATGCCAAACACAAAATAAAACAGAAACATTTAACACACCACGTTACAAGAACTTTCATATATTTACCAAACTTTTACAAACAAATCCTGATAAATAAATTCTTCTATATATGTATAAATGTCTCATTTTGTTGTCTTGATGTATATATGTATATTTTACTAACCAAAAACAAGTGTCAAATAAGGCTCATCATAACAAAATTCAAGCATTAGAAATGAGATGATACAGAATCATTATAAGCATCTCCTATGTCGACTGCATAACAAATGACATAGTGTGAGATATCAGGCAAGAAAAAGGCCAATTAGAAGACCTCATAATCATTGTCAAAAAGAAAAAGTGAAAATGGTATGGACATGTCATATTAACAAATAATATTTCGCTACCATCCTATAAGGTACCACCTTAGGCAAAAGAGGAAGCAGCAGACAGGAAAAAATGATCTGACAGTATCAGCGTGAACTGGAAGATCAGTTACACAGAGACTAAGACATAGGTATACAACTGAGATATATTGAGGGAGCGGGTCAGGTGCTCATCAGTACACTAGTGACCCTGTGACCGAATACAGTCATGGGTTGAGGTGGATGATGATGATAATGATGACAACTATTATTAAAGTTTATGAAGTCATATTTTGTCATAATGACCTTATGTTTTAAGCGATGGCTAAACAAGTGAAATTTATCAAGCTTAAACATTTACGAAGAATTGATATTACTGATTAAATTTTAAAATCACTGTAAGTGTTTTCTCTCAAACCGCGTGTTTTCCATTATGAGTCGATTTTGTGTGTTCGGTAAGTGACCTTTTTTTTTAACACAAGGAGCGTAATTTAAATGAGAATTTTAGAGTTAGCTCCCTTGTTTTTGAACTCTCAAGTTTTATCGTGTTATCACGCCTCCAAAATATCAGCAAGGTCTGATCTGCTCCTTTTGATTCTTGTGGAGTTCATTTTTCACCCCTGGCCCTGCCAATTATTACTTGCGAGGCGGGGATCTTATGGGTGATCGTAATTTTACTGATTTGTTGCTCAACTACTCACCTGATGTATTTAAACTGCTAGATAGACATTTACAGTTAGAGATCAATCTTCTTCTTCCAGGTGTCATTCATAAGAAAATCTGTGATTTTTTTTTTGTATAAAACTTCCTGCTGAGTGTAGTGTGAGAATATTTTTTCACACTTACTAAATTTGTAAAAAAAAGAAAAAAAAAAAAAAAAATATATATTTATTTTTAATTATCACATTTGAATATAATTGCAAGCACACGTAGTTATGGAAAACCGAGACTTGATCAACCGGCTTCGACAATTTGATGCTTATCCGAAAACATTGGAAGATTTTCGCATAAAAACCTATGCAGGAGCTATTGGTGAGTATTTAAAGTTACTAACTGAATTGTTAGTAACTAAGCATTAAAGTTCGTTTTCTTGTGAATTTTTGATTTAACGCGAGCGGCAAGAAAAACAACGTGACTATATGTACAAAATACAGCTTCCTTCCTCGTTTAAGTAAAAGAAATAGCTGTTTTTCTTTAGTGACTCAATTCTGTCTCCTTCTACTGACATATGATAAATAAATAAAAGAATTTTGATCATGTTGACAAAGTGACTGTTACATTTAAACATCTGAAATGTTAAATGTTCGAATTACGCTTCTTGTTGTTAATGTTACACTTGTCAGTAATTGATTGGTTACTTTATTAATATTTTGTTGAATGTTTTGTCTTGAGAAACCCAACGACGAAGCCCGAAAATAAAAACTTTCACGCTATTTATTTGTGTGAAGCTAACAAACGACAGAAATTAAAATTAAACAAAACTTTTATAAAATAAAAACATAAATTATTTGTTTTTAGTAATTTTTTTTTAAATTTAATTTTTCTTCCAAGTAAAATTATTACCGACGAACAGTAAAGACAATTTTTTCGTTATTTTTAAAAGATATAGTGAAAAATAAGTTTTTAAAAAATAAAAACTTATTTTTCACCATATCTTTTTGATAATGTACCCCCCCCCCAAAGAGTAATTCTGAATTCCCTTTTTAGTTTTTTTTTTAGTTCTGAGCCAAAAATAAACCCGTTTCGCATAAAAAGTTAAAAAACATAAAAATTAGTAACTTTTTTCTCTATTGATCATTTTCGATTTATTAATGCCCCCACCCCCAAATAAACTTTTTCGTCATCTTTTAAAAATAAAATGAAAGCATTGACTATTCATTTTCTTTATTTTTAAAACATTATGTAGGATTTGGTTAAAAAGAAGTTATAGAAAAAAAAATTAACTTTTTTGCAAAACAATTTAAAACTACCAACAAAAACTAAAGTTTTAAAAGATAAACAACTAAAAAGCAAATCTTCTTCAAGATATGTTTTTCAGACTGTTTTTCTTTATTTAGTTTTTCAACCCGGACTGAATTTTTTTTAAGTTAAGAATTTGTCTAACAAAAAACAAATGTTTGCAATAAAATGTTTTTTGGAGGCGGGGGGTAGGGCCACTTTAACATTAACAAACAAAATTAATTACATAATTGCTTGTGTTTGTAAAGCTTAGTCTGAAACAAGTCCGTGTTTAAGCGTGTTTTTTTTTCTGTAGTAAAGATCGAACCCACTGTGTGCAAGATTTTAATTGTGATCCATGATTGAAAAATGAAAACAGCTAAACAAAATGTAAAAAATAATATTTACAGGATTTCTCCCATATTTTCTTTTTGTATTTTAAAGAATTTTTGTTTAGTTTAAAAAATGGTTTTGAATCTTGCTAAAACCTCGGAAATTATTTGTGCGTTTTGAAAAACAGCTGAACTGTTGTACTTTTAGGGAAATATTTTTAGAAACGTTTCAATCAATTCATGGTTTCATTGTTGGTAGTTAGACACGTGTGTCCAGTGTGAATATAAATTATAGATTAAGTAAGCCATTCAAAGAAATTGAGTCTTATTAATTAAATTTTCAAAGCTTTAATAATGCTAGCTAAAATAGAGATAGAAAAAGTTTTGTATTTTATTTAAAAATTTTTTAAAACCTTAAGCGACGATCCTGATGTTTGTTGCTTTGTATCAACGTGCTTGTCGTAATTGACAACAAAAAACACAACCTTTGTTGCTTTTCTTTCAACTTGCCTATTCACTTACCCTCCTAAATCTGTATGGTGAGCACAAAGTCTCTGGATAAAACTGTACGATTCCTAGTAATTCCTTTTCTTTTCTCCTGTGTTTTCGTTGTAATTCATTTTTTAACCAATATCGGTTTTTATTTGCTCATTTTTTTTTTTAACTTTTTCATTCAGAGATTGACCTGTAACCTGTACCCAAAGTGCTACAATAATAATAAAAAATAATAAAAGATTACAAACAAAAAAATATTTTGTCCTATAAAAATATAGATTTAGATAACAGTGGATTGCACCACTGGAAAAGGAAATCCATTGGGGCTTATGAAATGTCCCCTTTTTTTCATTAGTATTTTATCAATTTGATGTTTTAACTATTTAACTCATTGATAATTTCAGCCAACACTACATCACAAGGGTGAGCATTCCATTCTTTAATCACACAGTTGATAAAGTGTTGGTATTGACAAAGAAAAATTAAGTACATTATTTACATTATTCGGACTATTGTCCTCATCCTCAGTGACAGAACCCAAATAGTGTGAGTTCAATAGGGAAAATTAACAGGAGATAACTGACATCCATTAAACATGGCATGTTGAACTAGAACAGTCTACCCCAGTGAGCGAAATAAAGGGTTCAGTTCGACATTCCAACCACCTGAAGAAGGCCGGAGCATACAACGGCCGAAACGTTGTAATAAATATGGCGACAAAGATGAGGACAATAGTCTGAATAATGTAAATAATGTACATAATACCTCATCTCGGAAATATATACAGATATTGAAAAATTAAGTATTGAATTGTTTGAGAAAATAGATGGACAAAAGAGTGAAATGAAACAGAAAGTTTTATTCATTTGGGAACATTTTCATGTAGAGAAAGTTTCAAGAATAATTCCTGAAAGAAAACAAACTCTAGAAATGTTCTTAAGTCTTTGTAAAGAATGAAGGATAATTTGAACTTACTCTGATGAATTAAAGAATGAGTGATATATGTATAATAAGCAAAATGTACGACTATTGCTCAGAGCGCTAATTTTAGCATCCTACTGCAATTTTGGCTTGAAGTGAAAGAGAACTAGTCTCTTCAAATTTACAGTATGTATGCTCCCAGTCTTTTCTTTTTCTGCATACCTAAAAGCTGAAAATGGGGTTACTTTTGCTGATAGGGTTATCAACGTGATGTATGTCAAGTGAAAGGATTTAACATCTGCTTTTGGAGGAACAGTTACTTTGATCCAATGAAAAATACTTTGTATAGTCAATATCTACTAAACTGTAGATAATTTGGAAGACTTATAGCAGGTCATCCCTAAGTCTTCAAGTAAATCGATGTTCTGTTGGTGATATGATCACCATGTTTGCACAGCATAATCTAGATGGGGACTAACTAGAGAGTGGCAAAAAATTGAGATGCTTTACTTATGCTGCATTTTGTTGAAATCTGCATAAAAAATTCTTTCTTGTGTTATGCAACTAGAGAATAAACAATTCCTGAAGCATTATGACTCATAACATGAGAAAACAAAATGAGTTCATAATGATTTGCAGTTAAAAAAAAAAAATTGTTGAAGGAATTTGTGTATACAAACAAATAAAGATAAATGTTTGCCTCCCACATTATAGTTATTACTCTTTCTTTTTTGTTTTTTTTTGTTTTTTTTGTTACTCATATTTTCTTAATTCTTTCTATAAAATGGAGAATGATTTTTGAGCCAGAGGATTATTTTATGGATCTTTTTATTTGTTATTATTTTATGGATCTTTTTATGTGTTTGTCTAGGGAATTATTAGGAAGACAATGACTATAGGTTGGCTCATAGGAATTGATCCTGAATTCATAATCATGGCATTTTCTTTACGACTTTATACTAAATACAGAACTATGAAGATTAAAAAAAAACATTGAACAGAATGTATAGAAATTCCATAGTGTATTTTTGCAATTTAGTGCAATGTTTATTGCTGTGGAATAAATGAGCCTGATTCAAATTCCAGTTTAGTCTGTGCTACTAATGTCCTTTAGTAAGGTATGAGTTCTTTTCTTTGTGTCCCCCCACCAGCTATAGGTTAAATAGTAGGATAAACTGGGCAGCCAATTTAGGAGAGGGACTGTTCAGAATTCAAAACTGGAGAAGGCAACTGGAAACCATTTCAATATCTTCCCAAAGAAATAATTGCAACTACCAGATAATAAAATCAAACTAGTCTTTGAAAGGATATGGCATTTTGAAAAAAAAAAAGTTTATTTTACTAAGACAAGTGAAGGGAAAAAGAAATATTCATTTGTACTTTTAAACAGTGGCTTACTTTTTTCCAATTTGTCTACTTAATGGGGAGAAGAAAAAAAAATCTCATCAAGTACTGTGACGTGAAAAGATTATTTTTGATGAAACCATTCCTCTTCTGTCTTGCTGCTCCCTCTATGAATCTGTTTTTTTTTTTTTATTTCATTCTCTCTCTCTCTAAACCAACATGGTTATTATCTTCAATTTTACAGTAAAACTATATGACAAATTACTTTTTATTTACATTCCAACTAATGTCCATCTTTGTTGTCATAATTAACACTTCAGCTGTTCCCTTCCTCCTGCATCTTTCTTCAGGTGTCAGTAACCTAGTGGATTAAAGTATTGAATCATGATTTTTGGTGACACATTGTGAGCTCAATTCCTGGGCCAGGCACTGCAGACCTAGACTCAATAGAAACAGAAACAGGACAAACAATAACTGAAGAGTACTAAATAAGAACAAGAAGAATTATCTCCCCTGGACATAAACTGCAGAATAAGCATAATTGCCCCTATAGATTAAATAAAGTATTTAGTTTGAAATTCCATGGTTATCATGATTGGGACTGAAATGTTCTTTTATGTGACAACAAAATAATTCATTATCTTCTTTAGTTATTGTTCCAGGCCAATTATTGCTTTCTATGAATTGTTTTGATTCATTGTCAGAGTAAGAAGAACCAGGATAAAGACATTTCTTGCAAGAACCCTGTTAGCCATTCCTAAGTGGTTAAATTGGGAAATAAGTTTATTGTTTGTACTTGTTGAGTTTTCATAATAGATGGATTTTAATAGGGATCAGATGAAAAAAAAAATCTAATTTTAGAATTAGAACTCTCCTCAGTATTCTTACAGATTTGAGAAAGGTAGCCATGTGGATAGTTTTAATTCACTCTAATTTCTCTCTCTCTATTTTTTTTTCTTTTCCATCCCCCCACCTAAGACTTTTTAGTATGCTGATAGGTTC